AAGCATGGATAATAAAATAAATGGATTGGAAACTTCTGACGTCATTGACTGCATCCTTGTTGAAAAACGTGACGTCACGCGTATTGCGAATGTTACCAAAGTTCTCGGCATATTTGTTGTTTTGCTATATTTTCCACTTTAAAAGGGTGGTCTTGAAGCGTAAACTGGTCTAATTGTTTTAAAAACATGCCTAAGCCACGACAAAGTATTCAAGGTAAATGTTTTTCGTCTTTGTTTTGTATTTTTTTACAATTGTAGCTACGAAATTGGCGTCACAAATTTTAACGAAATTTGCGATGTATTTTTCACTGTTTAGTGCTTGAAATATTTGCTAAAATTGACTGGGAATACTTAGAGTTTTCATCGTAGAATGGCGTGGTTACATTTATTTGTTCTTTGACTAAAATGTTTAGCTGTATTATTGCTAAACATGCCGTTTTTGAGAATTTGATTTTCAACTAGGTTGAGGCATCCAACCACGCCATCAATCCCAGTAAAAACATTAGGTCACGTCAGCTAGTTTCCTATCCATTTATTTTATTACCATGGTGGTACCTTTACCAGTGGGAGAGAATAGGGGTAATTACGGAACCGTTCAAACCTTTAGGCATAACAGAGACTCACTTCCGTACAGAATAAATAAGTATTAAAGTAGTAATGAAAAATTGTATTAAAATATTAAATTATATATATATATATATATATATATATATATATATATATATATATATATATATATATATATATATATATATAACTACAGACGGTACCGTTTCGGCCTTATGGGCCTTCATCAGTGTAGTGCTGATGAGCAGGATGAAAGTAACTGCTATTTACAGTTACCTTTGATGCCTCACGATTGTGGGACATCAAAACCATGCCAGAGCGCTCAAACTGCAAGCAGTGAGCGTGCGCAATGCGTATGTATGTATGTATGTATGTATGTAAAACTTTATTTCAATGCGCTAACTTCGACAATTATTTACAACTGGTTTCCACGAAGGGCGTATACACACAAAGAGCTAAATGTTAATTATATATAGAACAAAATATGTAAGAATCCCACCCTAAAATTTTATCATCTTCCTCCCAAACCTCCACCCCCTAAACAAGTACCCACCCACCCTCACGCAAAACTAACCCCCCTCCCGCCCACAATCTATATTGTCCTCCCATCATTTGGTCCTGGAGAAATTAGCTTATCATCTGCTTAAATGCAATTTCGCCATTGTTTTAAATGACGTAATTGACTCAGCCGCCTTGACATCTTGCGGGAGACTATTCCATAGAATTGCTCCACTGTATCCAAATGTTTTCTTTAGAAATTCCGTTTTCGGTTTTTTTAACGAGAGATCAGTTTCGCTATTGCGTAAATCATAAATATTCTGCGATGCATTTCTCCGAGAAAAAAGATCTTTAAGGTTTGGCGCAGTGTGGTTCCCCAAGACTTTATACATCAATACTAGCTTGTTTTGTTCTCGTCTCCTAGCCAGGGTTTCCCAGCCTAATTTGTTTAGGACTTCAGACGATCTTACATCGTAGTCAGCTCCGGTAATCACCCTTGCTGCTCGATTTTGGAATTTTTGCAATTTGTCTTGAAGTCCCAAACCACAGTTATCCCACAGGGGAGAACAGTAATCAAAATGAGGCTGAATTAATGTTTTGTAGACATCATGTAAGGTTTTGTGTGGAACATAAGGTTTTATTCTTTTAATTGCTCCTATTCCAGCGCTAATCTTATGGCATACAGAATCAATATGTTTCTCCCAACTTAATTTTTCATCTAGATTTACACCCAGACATTTAAATGTATTGGTTTGTGGGACTGGGATTTTGTTAATCTCAACGGCTCTATTTCCTATTTTATGATTTAGATTATGCGTAGATCCAATAAACATGACTTTTGTTTTTTTCCTATGATATTTTAGTTTGTTTTTAGCAAGCCATTTATGAATACTGGAAAGGTCCATATTCAAATTGTCAATCAATGTATCGTAATCATGCGAAGAGGAAGATATCTGAGTGTCGTCGGCATAAAGACATGGGTTTGTCCTTTCTAAAATGTCAGGCATATCATTAATATATAGCAAAAACAATAATGGACCAAGTATGGATCCTTGCGGAATTCCGCATATTATTGTTCTTGCAGAAGAAGTTTGATCATTAACAGAACACACTTGCTTTCTATTCCTTAAGTATGCATGATTGGAACCATTTTAATTCAATGTCGTGAATTCCAAACTGGGTTTTAAGCTTCTCCAATAATATCTCGTGATTCACCGAGTCAAATGCTTTACATATATCAAGAAAAACAACTCCATTTATTTTGCCTTCATCCATGTCTTGTAGCCATTGATCACACATTTGTATAAGAGCACCTAAGGTTCCATGTTTTGGTCTAAACCCGGATTGAAATTTAGACAGAAGCGCATGTTTATTCAAAAAGCTATATATTTGAGTAAAAACTTCCCCTTCAAATATTTTACTTATTATGGGAAGAATTGAAATTGGTCTATAATTTTCGCATTTACGCTTATCCTCAGATTTGTAAATTGGTATAACTCTAGCCAATTTCCACTCATCTATATAAATACCAGTTCTAATCGATAGGTTAAATATAAAAGTTATAGATGGAGCAATAAGGGTTGATGTCAGTTTTAAAATATTCGCAGGTATTCCATCCATACCTGTCGCTTTTGAGACATTTAGTTTTTGTAGGCGTTTGGAAACACTATCTATAGTAATATCTGCGAAGTGAAAATTTTCTTTAGGAAGAAGCACAGTACTTTCATAAATTACTTGATCATTTAAAGCATCAGTGCTTTGACATGCTGATTCAGCAGCCATCTTCATTCCAATATTTATAAAATATTCATTTAATGTTTCAGTAATAGATTTATCATCAGAAATAATATCATCATTTACTTTCAGTTCATTAATATTTGCATTCTTATGCTTTCTTCCTAAGAGCGAATTTATCCAAGCCCATCCACTTTTACTGTCTCCCATTTGAGAGCTTGCCTGGATTTTATCACAAAAGTACTTAGATTTTGCTTTCCGCATGTTTATATTTACTTCATTACGTAGTGTTTTATACAATTCCCACTGTGACTCCGAATCATATTTTATGGCCTTTTTTTTGTGATAGTCCCTTTTTCTCATAAGTTCTTTAATTTGAGGATTAATCCATGGGACAGGGTTATTCCTTATTCGCTTGTGGCGCAGAGGGGCATGTCTATTAAGTGCATCTAATAATAGTGATTTCCAGACTTGCCAACATAAATTGGGATCTCCAAACTGATAGACCATCTCCCAAGGCAATTGAGACACATCCCGAATGAAATCATTTTCGACAAAGTTTTTAAAGTTACGAACCTGACGAATTTTTTGCCTTCCATTCGGTAGTGTAAATTTTCTCACAGCGTAGACAAGGCTGTGATCTGAAATTCCCAGGTGAATGACACCTGATCTGGAAATATTTTCTGGTCTATTTGTTAATATTAAATCAATTAGTGTAGCTGATTTAGGAGTTAGCCTTGTAGATTCTTTAATAAGTTGGTCTATCTGATACAGAGAACATAAAAATTGCAACTTACATGTGTGAGGGTCAGGTATAGTTTTACTGACATCACAATTTAGATCTCCTATGAGGATTAGCTCCTTATCTTCATTATCACATTTTGCTAAAAAGCTTGCCCAGTAATCAAATATATTCATAAGAGAATTTGGTGGTCTATACCATGTGCTTATTAGCAGTGATTTATTGTAGGGTAAACTTAATTCAATGCAGACCATCTCAAGTTCATCAGGGATTAGATCTATTCTATCTGAGAATGATATGTTTTGGCGAACATATAGAACCACACCACCACCAAACCTATTTCGATCTTTACGAATTATATTAAAACCATCAATATGTATCTCATTATTTGAAATCTGAAATATCTGAAATCTGAAATCCTAGGAATCGCTGGCATCGAGTACAACAATTGTTACAGCTGTTCTGGAAGCGCTGGAGAAAGGAGTTCCTTCCACGTCTTAATGTAAGCAAGAAATGGTTTCATCCCAAACATAACCTGAAACAAGGCGATGTGGTATTGACTGCTGAACCCAAAGCAAGTAGGGGAGAATGGCCTCTTGCCCGTGTGATCGAAGCGTATCAAGGAAGTGACGGCCTAGTCCGAGTTGTAAAGGAGAAATCCAGGAAGAAAGAATATTTCCGTCCTATACATCGATTGCATCCTCTCGAGTATGTTGACGAACATTCGGACAATGAAGATAGATAACTGAAACGTTCATAGAAGTGAACAGAAAGGACGTTAATTAAGTCGTATTTGTTAGTATTCATTGACATTGCTAATCCCTCTATTTATTGTCTTTAAGTGGAATCGAATGCGTTGCATTCGGGAGGGGGATGTTAACGAACGATATTATTATATGAAGTACTTGTTATCATGACCGCTGAAATAGTCGCGCGGGCGACAAAACGTAGTTTGAACGTTCTAGTTTATATTTTTCGACTACAAAAAGTATGACAATATTTAGGCTATTTTTGTGTTTAAAGACTCGGAATAAAATGGCGAATTATCTCGTGTAGACATTTTATAGACAGTTCAATTAATCGGGAACAGTCCCTGTCACGACGGGGATACGGTGTACTCGATATTGACCGGTTTGGGACGATCAAGCAAGTAGTGACCGGTTTGGGACGATCAGTAGTTTTAACTTTATATGATGTAGCACGCAATTGATTACCTGAAAATTTCTTGATGACACACCATGGCTCTTCCACAGATATGACCAAGTATCTACTGCGGGGTTGTGTCTTATCTCGCTCAGCGACCAAATAAACCAAGTCCCCGACGTTAATTGTAGGAGATGCAGACCCATTCCTATTTCGGTTTTTCGATTTCTCACTATACGGGTGGTTTTGTTTTCGTTGTAGATGTTGCTCTTGGATTACTTTGCGATCACATAATTATGGGAAGTTGATCATGAGTGAACTGATCTCGCTGTGTCCACAGCTCGCGAGCCGGAGTCCCTCTCTCCGGAGGCGGGAATTTAGTCGCGATGGCAAGGGTAACAGTCGATATTGAACCACCATTGGGTGCTTGGCGGAGGATTTCTTCTTCGAGTTCAGCGATGGCCTTCTCTGCCACTGGGTTTTTATTAGTGTTTTTAACGCGTCCGATCTGGCGGGGTCGACTCTGATGATGGCCGGTGGACCTTCCAGGGGGTGCAGCTCGCTGCATAACTTAGCTATAGCATCACTCTAGCTTCACGAAGTGTGTTGGCTTTCTCGTACGATCGTGGATGATAGACGTTGCGGTAAAGGATGTTGTTGTTTCGCGAACGACTATGATAGTTTGTTTACACCGCTTAAGGACATCTGCGGCAAATGAAACTCCAACGACCTTGGGTGGTTCTTCCGTGCTATGCTGTACAACTTGAGGTGGGAGCTTTTTCAGGGAGGCACACGTGTGACACGTGTCACTCACACGAGCGATGGCAGCTGGCATGTCAAGTGTGAAGAAGTTGCGTCTCATCACCGGTTGGAGTTGGTGTTTTGACGGGTGGTCGAGTTTGATATGTAAGGCTGTTACAAGACCGTCAAGTACGGAGCGTGGTACTACGATCAACTCGGTGGAGGGTGATAAAGGGTCGGTTCTACGAACTACTAATAAACCATCTTTGGCAATGGACAGGGAATTTAGGTAACGTTTAACATCCTTTACATTAGTTAATTTCTTAGAGGGACGTGTTCCTTGTTTCAGGTGAGCATGTGTTCTGCGTAGTTCGGGACACTCGGATTGTATTTGGATCCAGGCAGATCGGGTTGTAAAAGGTAAGCGGGGGAGGTGGTGTACGTCTTGGACGGAGGTGGACCGAACTACCGAATCTTCTGTGGTTGAAATGAAGTTGCAAATTTGGCATTTCGGTTCATTGCACTCTGGTGCGTTTCGACTGGCGAAATCCGAGGAAACATTCGCTGAGCCAGCGAGGTGTTGTATGTCCGCTTGGTACCTGCTGACGATGTTTATCTATGGCTGAACACATGGCTTGCTATCTGTGAGGATACAAGCGGGGTGATGCGATTGGATTATGAAAGGGCTAAAGTGCTTCACGGCGGCAGCGATGCTTAATGCTTCAATCTCACATGGCAGCCAGTTCACCTGATGCTTTCTTAACTTGGCACTAAAAAATCCTGCGAGGAGGGGGGTTTGATGACGTGATACGTAAAGGGTAGCTCCGATTCCTCTTTTGGTTACAGAGCCATCGGTTACTATTCATAGTTTGTCAGATGGTTTGGGAAGGGTAATAGATTTGTTATTCGCCAGGGAGGATTGAACGAACTTGAATTGTTGGGACAGAGTATCTGACCACTTGATCTTGTCACATGATTGTTGTCCTGCGATGGCACTTTCCAATGGTGCGATGATGTGTGCACACTGTGGTAAGACACGTCCGAGGACTTTGTATGCTCCTATAAAAGACCGAAGACCCCGTACCGTATCGGGAGGCGGACACGATGACATTGTAGCAATTCTGTGGGTGCTTGCGGATAGGCATCCCTGTGTCCAAATCCAGCCTAAGATGGTGGTACTGCGTGGGCAAATAATGGTTTTGGATGGAGAAAGCTTAATATTGCACTTTTGGAGGGCGTCTAGGATCCTCTTCCAGTTGATGAGCAGTTCCTCAGGCGAGTCTGCACCGCAGTACAAGTCGTCTGCAAGCTTTGCAGCGATTCCATCTTCTAGGCAATCACTGAGTATGCGACACATGAGCTCCTCGAGGGCTGTTTCTGACCCTGGCATGCCCATAGCTGATCGGGTGTAAACTCGAACGCCGCGGAATGGAGTTGCAACGCCACAGTACTTCATGGAACCTTTAGCAAGTGGTATCTGATAGAAGGCGCTGGTAAGGTCGGATACGATGATGTACTTCCATTTGGCAATTGTTCGGAGAATAGAATCGACATCGGGTAATAGAGATGGTTGTGGCTTGCTATATCGACCAACATCAGCGAAGGCAGTGACTAGTCGGTGTCCTCCACTTGGCTTTTTAATGAGGAATGATGGATTAAGGTATTCAACGGTTATGCCAAGGTTTTCAGGGGGGCTGAAAAATGCCTAGCGATTCAAGTTCGTCAAATTTGTGTTGGTGTTGTCGACCTGCTTGTCTGCACAAGGGGCAACTTTTTGTTGGGCTTTTAGATGTCCGTGGTAGGGCTGTAGGGGTTTGACGGCGACTACTGGATTGAGGGTGTTTGAGGGATTGTTGGAAAGCAGTACGGAGGACTTTTGCATCATTGGCAGAGTTAATTTCGTCAAGGAGGGAGTCTAGTGCTTGGGAAATTTCAGGTTTGAGGACGCGACAGTTTGTGATCGAAGTTCAGCACCGTAGCGCTGTTTGACTAGGGCCGGTAAAGAAGGATGGATAAGGCGTAGCCATGTCAACACAATTATGTTCTCCATTGTTGGGGAGATGTTCTCCATTGTTGGGGAGAACGTTTTCACCATGGTGTCGAATACCACCATTAGCTTTGAGCAATTAAATTGTCGTCAATGAAGCTAACAAGCTATTAAGCGCGCCTTTGGTAAAGGTCTTTCGGACGCTCGTCAGTTTCTAAGTGAATGTTATTAAAGTCTAAGAAATGACCACCTGTGGACTGAAACCCAAAGTGAGCCCGAATCGCTTGCCAAATAGTGCTCAAAGATGTAGTTTTTGACAAAAGTATTTCGGGAAATTACAGGGCAATAGTTGGCTATTTGGCCCAATATAAGCTCCAGTTGGGCTGCTTTTTGCTCTGCAGTACGACGGCGTGCTTCGGGTACAGTATCGGCATCATTTTCGAAACCGCGAAGTGGGGCGGCGGTGGTCTTTTTTAGCCAAGTTACCCCATCGACCAAAAATGGGGCGAAGTTTGGGTCTAACGATAATGTATATTGTAAATTTTGACGCCATGCTTCAAACGATGTTATTGTTTCTTGTTTTGTGAGAGACCACTGTTTTGGGGCACGGTTGCTTGCCATACTAACGAGAAAGACAACTAACTATACGAACAATTGACTTACGTTTAGTATAGGCACTCTCGATGTCTTGCTGTACGAGCTCTGATTCGTAGAACAGCTTAAAACTGCCTCGCTTTTACCTTGTTTGGGTCCGAGAAACTTTCTTCTGAGCTGTGTATTATGATATCTGCTGTGTTAGAGATCGAAGGATAAGGAAATAAATCGCTGCCACCACGCCAGTAAAGAAGAAAGACTCATAAACAACGAACGATAAAACAGTATGTTTTTACAGAGCAATTCGTATTCTCGAAGTGCAAGCAGTCACGTGAGTGACTAGCGATAAACCGGAAGTTCCGATGTTTATGATAATGTCAGTATATAATTACTGATGTTAAACAATGTCAATATGCCATATATGGCGCAGAATATGCTTTCAAACATTTTTGCTTAGACTTATACTCAATTACCATAATTTTATACATGTAAATAGGTTGTATTCTATAATCTTTACTTAAATAACTTTGTAAATTGATCTGAAAAACCCGTTTTGGGAAATCTAATTAAATTAATAATAATAATGTTTGACACATTTGTATAGCTGGTGTGAGTGAAACTTTGTCTTCGTAATTAAATATTCAGGTTTTAACGGTGTTCAGTTACATTGACATTGTCATTGGCTATTTTGTGATTATAAATCCCACCAAAATGTAGATAATTTTATACGCTTTCTACCAATGCTTTAAGTTTGAATACCCATACTTTCGGGTTAATATACGCGTTGAAACGCGCGTATAAAATCAGAAACTATATTCTGTATTCCGACGGCAATTTTGACACCCTCGTTTAGGCGGCAATTTTTCGCTCAATGTGGCTACGAGAATATAAATCCCACTAAAATGTAGATATTTTTATAAGCTTTCGACAAATATGCGTTATGTTTGAATATTTGTTAGCTTCAAGTCAATATACGCGGTTGAAACGGGCGCATAAAACCAGACAGATTATATATTAGGTCACATAAAAAAATACTTGTTTAGCGTCCACCCATTTTAATTTTTCTAGGTCGGGCGATCGGGTTTTTTTTTGTTGGGCTTTTTTTTCGTAAAATGCAACACAAAATTCTACTAAATGCAGGAAATCCAGTATATTACCACAGTCAAAACTCACTTTAATTTTTTCAAAATCCGTTCATGTTTTTTAATACAGTTCATGTTTTAATAAAACAGAAAATTACCGTTTGGCGGTCACGCGCGAACACTTTAGCTGCGAACAGGCATATTCTGGGAAGGAAACTTTGTGTAAACGTATTACATAGCTCCCAGAAGAATAAAATCACCATTTTTTCAAGTAAAACGGTCTTTTTTATAGAGAGTTTTTGCACTAAACTCGGATGGATTTAATAAAAAAAATTTTAAAAATTGGAGGTCGGGGACTTTTATCAGGTCGGGCGGGGACGCTAAACAAGTAATTTTTATGTGGCCTTAGAATGTGTATACCGACGGCAATTTTGACCCCTCGTTTAAGCAACGATTTTTCGCTTAAAGGGTAATGGCAATAAAAATTTTTATTGCTTTAATATTGCAGAGAATATAAATCCCACCAAAATGGAGATATTTTCATTTATTATATACACAAGGTCTGGATATGAGGTATTCTGCAATCTGATTGGTTCTCTACTAGCAGGATATTAGCTCATATCCTGCTAGTAGAGAAAAACAAAATGGCGGCTCAAACTGAATTTCCGATGTTTTGCGAACGAGAAAACGGCAAGTTGTTCGCTTTTTATAGCTTTTACAGGATTAAAAACACAATGAAAAAACTCCCACAAATTGTTTACACGTTAGCAAATTAATTTTTAAAATTTAAAATAGTTAAAAATATATATTTTTGAAAAACTAATCGGCCGAAAGAGCGAAGATAAAAACATAAACAAAATAGAAAAATATTGAAAATATTCGAAAAGCAAAGTCTGTGAATTCAGACCTTGTGTATATAATAAAACAGTTATTCCACTCACTCTCGTCAAATATGAGCGATAGCCGATTCGGCGCTACGCGCCTCATCGGCTATCAGCTCATATTCGACTCGAGTTCGTAGAATAACTGTTAAATATGCTTAAGTTTACAATAGTTAACAATAAGGCGCCAAATGCATAATGGCGGACGGCAGCAAAATTTTAAACTCGCCTACAGTAAGGAATTTTAGTCTTGATCGTGTTGATATACCCTCAATAAAATTGCTAAACATTAATACACACTTAGTCTATGATGGTACACGTATAAAGTGGTCAAATGATCTGAAATCTCTGAAGAATTTTACCGAAAATGTTGTCGGTTTGGTTGGTTGCTGGAGGTCGCCCGGTGGCAAATCTAAACAGTTTGTAAGCAATGACCTAGATCTGACAATGACTTGGCACCCAGGTAAGCAAAATTCTTTGCTGTTCAGCGGGAAAGACGGTGAATCCTTAAAGAAATTATTGATAAGTATTCTGAACACGCCAAGCGATACTACACATAAAATACCGGACGAGCCAAAATCATCGACAGGAGAATCGCGTGACATTGGCAAAATTACTAATTCTAGTGAATGCCCAAGCCAGCCTATAGCTGAAATAAAAGCGATTAAGGATAAAATTGACGGTGTATTTGTGATTGTAAACAAGCTTTGTTATTCTACAACTAGATTACTAAATAAATTTTCTGCAATTCTCGCCAGAAAGGATCTTCACGATTCCACTACCCAAACTGATTTCGAAGTACATAACAATGTCGGATTAAATATAGCTGATGCCACAAACGCGATAGATAACCAGTGTACATACACGCTTAGTGGTTTATCGACCGAAATTGAAGGTCTCAAACTAAACATCATAATCACAGAATCAAATATTTTAAGCAAAGTTCAGTCTAACAATCAAGCGATTGAGCAAATTCGTCACGACCTAGACTCAATCAAAAGCCATCAGAGTAAAAGTAACTTCATTTCAGACAATAATACTGTCCCAATTACAAATTCTGAATCAATTAATGTTGGACCTACAGCTAACTCAACTAAGATTGATAGTACTGCTACGATTCCCATATGTAAACATGGTTCAAATCAGTCTTGTGCTCAATTACGGTCAACCGTAATCTGCCAACAAAATACCAACCCTCCCGGAGTAGCCCAGTTTTGTTCTGTTAGCAGTAACAAGCCAAATAACAAGTTAACGCTCCAGGCCTACCCTAATTCTAACAAACACGTTACTCAGCAAATCGAAGGTGCACCAGGAATAAATAAAGGTCAACAGAATCATTATAAAGTATGCAAATCCACCTCCGACCATAAATTAGAACCTCCCAAGGCCAATCCTGAAGTAATTAAAATTGGATCGACTGCTAACACAACAAAACCCCTTAGCGTAGGCGCTGGTTCTGCTAAACATGAATCAAAGCAGTATTACGCTCATCATTACAACTTAGTCAGTCCTGTAAAACAAAGTAATTCCCATCAACATTCCCAAGCTGTTTTTCGCCCACAATCAAATGTCAGTTGTGTGAAGCCAAAACCAAGAAATAAACAGAACGTA